TTCTTCCACAGCCGTGTCAATTCTTCCCATGTGATCTTGTCCTTGAGGTCCGGTACGTCGACGCCGTGGGAGGTTGCCAGGTGGGTCAACCAGGTGTGGCATCCGCCCTTTGAGTTCAGGAACAGGGCGCCGATGTACTCGTGCTTAGCGACAGGCAGAATCCTGAGTTGCGTCGTGAATGCTTCCCACCAGAGGGTTGGATCCTGCTGCGTGTAGTCGTCGAACTTTTCCAGTTGGAAAGTTGGCATCTTCTGATTGCCATCTGTGTTCGTCGACTGCAGCTGTTGGACCTCGGTCTTCAAGGTATGCAGCTGAGTGCTGATGGTGAAGGTGTTAATGTCGTCGAGAATTGCCAGGATGTGGTCAACGCGTTCCTCCAGTTGGCGGCTAGAGGGTGCACTGCTGGAAGCCCCAGCAGTTGGTCCTGGTACAGCCTGTTCCAGGTCCAGCAATCGGGCATTGAGTGCCCGAGTTGCATCCTCGTGGCTCTGCACTGTGTGGCGGAGCGTTGCCAACTCCTGATGCTGTTGCGTCAGGTCCTGGTACCGTCTCTCCAACTCTGACCGTTGGTAGTTGCAAGCATACAGCAACCGTGTCACGAGTTTGGAGAGGAACTCCTTATGCTGCTCTTCCGGTGTTGCCTCGTCGCCGTTCGGTTCAAAATGCCAGAACTTGAGTCTGTCAATGCTTGTGGCTTCATGCCGCTGTAGCAGATCCTGGGCTTCCTTGCGGCAAGCCTGGGAATCTGCGTCTGCATCGGCCTGTAGCCGCAGCTTCTCTGCTGCTGCTGCCTCTTCAGCCTGTACGCGGGCAGCCTCGACTGCCAGCAGGCGTTGTTCCTCAGCCTCTATCTGAGCCAGGCAACACTGCTTGTAGGCGGCAATGGTCTCATTGGCCGGTTGGCCTGACAGGCCTGTCATGTTGCCGACGTGGCACTGCTGATTACGTGGCACTGCTGATGTGGCACTGCTGACGTGGCATTGTGTCTGATGTGGTACTGCTGACGTGGCATTGTGTCTGACGTGGTACTGCTGACGTGGCACTGCTGATGTGGCACTGTGTCGGATGTCACTGCTGACATGGCAGTCTGACGTGGCAAGGTGACCTTGCACTGCTGACGTGGCACTGCTGATCTGGCACTGTGACGTGGCACTGCTGACGTGGCACTGTGACTTGGCACTGTGACTTGGCACTGCTGACATGGCACTGCTGATCTGGCACTGTGACGTGGCACTGCTGACGTGGCACTGTACCGAAACGGGATGCATGCAAGGGGAGGGTGGGAGGGAAAACGGAGGGAGGTAACCAACCCAACAATACTTTCCTCTGGCCCTAATCAACAGATAAAATAAAAAAATAAAAAATAAAAGAGGACTACTTCCCTTTTTTTTTTTTTTTTGTATGTATCTGTAGATCTATGATGAGTAGGATATGTCAGAAGAGTATTATGAACGAGATCTAGGCTAGGTTCCGCAAAGTTTCGGCTTTTACAAACTGCGATCTTGACAAAAAAAAAAATTGCGAAATGGAGTAAAGATGCGATTTTCAGAAAAGAACGAAATCTGGTTTCTGAGAATATGCAACCTCCGAATATGCCTAACGCAATATTGGTAGGCTTCGCAAGACTCGGTTTTCAAAAAAAAAAAAATTTCGCGAGATAGAATGGAAATGCGATTTTCAGAAAAGAATAATTTCAGTTTCCGAGAATATGACCACTTCTATCGTTATCCCAATATGCCTAGAGAACGAARATACTAACTTCAGAAATTTCAGCTATGTATGCGAAATATCAGAGAAACGAATTGCTACTATCGGGAATTTTCAGACTAAACGAAATGCGATTTATCATAAATTTTCAGATATTTGTCACGTAAAAACGAACTACTAATAGCAGAAATTTTCAGATAGAACGAAAATGCGAATATCAGAAATTTCAGATAGTTGTTGCGAGAATTTTTTTTTTTCAGAGATTTGACTAAGTCCTACTTGCGTTACTAATGAGTGATCAATAGATCGCAAGCTGGCTACTTGATTGAGCGGGTCCTCTGAATGAGAGGTCCGCTCCGATACCAAACTGTTGCATACTGTAACGTGCAGACCAGAACAAGAACCGACCTTTCAATACAAAGTACAAGATAGCACAGCGGAAGACTTAGATACCAGTGATCCGAACAATCAATGTTGTAATGCAGCCCTGAACATACATCATCATCGTTACAAGGTGTGAATGGGTCTGGCGCTTCACACAGGAAGACAGCGCCAGCCCATACCATACACAGACGAAGAGGAAGGGGATAGACGAAGAGGAGGGGGAAGATGGGAATGTCGTCAACACCAAGTCTTCAGCACAAGCCCAAATAGTCCCTCGTCGRAATGTCTGAATCCCAAATGTCAAGTCTGGATCCAATGTCGTCAAGTCTCAAGTCACAACTGCTCTCTCTGTCGTAGTCTGAGAAGTCAGAAGGCGAGAGGGTGAGAAGAGAAGGTGGACTTAGAAGAGGAAGAAGAAGAACTCTCTCTCTCTCTCTGTGTCCAGTACTAACCTGTGAAGTTGGCGCCTTGATGCAGGTACCACGAAGATGGAGCTGGAGCGATGGCGCCACAGGTAAGTAACACTTGCCTCCGCCAGTCTCTCTCCCGCTCTACGATCTACCACCTACCAGCGCCCAGCGCTGAAGACTACAGCTACAGCTATGGCGCCCAGCGCAGAAGACTACAGCTAGCACTACCACTACTGCCTAGCGCTGAAGACTACTGCAGCGCTCCTCCTGAGTGCAGCGGCCGATCCTGAAGACTACCTCTTGCCTACTGATTTACCTACCCGTGAAGTGCATGGGAACTTCCTATGTACTACGGGTGTGCCTCCTGAGCCTGCCGAAGGGAGGCAGGGGCTGCAGCTGCAGCTCCTGCTCAACTCGTGAGGAACAGGCTATTTCTGGCCTGTTCCGCATCCCTGTTTACGTGCCTGAGTCTTAGGGGCGGGTCGAAACAATGAGGGCCTGAAAATGGCCCTCAGTTTCAGGCTGAAAAGTCTGGGTCTGAAAAGACCCAGGAATAGGCTGAAACGGGGTAGGGCCTGCAGGCCCTCGTTTTTCAGCATCCAGGCTGAAACGAACGGGGCCTGTAAGCCCTAAGTTTTAGGCTTTTAGGTTGAATGTCCAGGACGGGCCCTGCAGGGCCCGTGTGGCTACGCAGTATGCCACAGGCACCGATCTCAACCAAGTGTTGAGAGCCTCATCCTTCTTATCTCCTGAGAAGGTTGGGGTTGGTTTCAGTGGGGTCTTGGGGTACCAAGGCTGTTGCTGTCCCGCTGGCAGGACAGGTGGCGGCTGTGGTGTAGCTCAAGCCGCTGGACGAGAAGATGAAGAAGCAACAGTCTGCGCTGCTGCTACTGATATACCACTTGGTGTGGTACCAGACTGAGACGGATATGCGCCTGTCATCGCTGAGAATGGCAGCGATAGCAAAACTGCTGACCTGACCCCTGTCCTTTGCAGGGCATTCAGGATCTGGTCCAGGGTGTCCTGGATAACGTCCAGTTTACTGTCCATGTGTGCGTGCATGGACAGGATGCTCGCCTTGACAATCTTCATGTTATTGTCCAGGGTCGAGCCATCTAACCCTTCTAACGCAGCTTTGTCTGCCTCTCCACTCTGTAGTCTGATGCTTCTATTTCTTATATCTTTTTCTCTGTCGGTAGCCTAAGTTCCTCCTCTAGCCTTAAGGGATCCTCTCTACCTGCTGGAGCTCCATCTGCTCCCGGGCGTGTGGAGGCGGCGAGCTGAACTGCAAGCCCGCCTTCTGACTGGTGGCAGCTCCTGACGTACTGGAGATGGCCTGCGAGCTGGTCTGCTGACCAGTCGAGGTTGCTGCAGATGTTGCCGATTGGTAGCCATTGTTACTACGCTAGCTTTTGCTGCCGCAAACGTTTTCTCTACAGCTGCTGCTGCTTCCCTGGCAATCTCAAGATTACGGGCCCTTGCTTCGGCCCTTGGCCTTCTTTCTTCTCCAGGTAGTAGGACCTGGAACACTACGGGTACTCTGCTTCGGTCGTCAGCTGTACCTTCACCACCCTCCGATGCACTCATCGGCTAGGGAGACGCTGTCTGCACTAGTGTCCACTCTGGAACCTACTGCAGCATGCGTCTGACTGGTTCTAAAAATAAATAAAATTACAATAAGTATCCGGCGAGTTACCTACACTACCATGCAAACGGTATCAACAGCATTCACACGGACTGTACACATAATCTAAGTTTACTTTGATTAGTTTTCTTACAGCAGCTTCGAAGAGAACTGGCTATGGTAGAACACTACAGTTCTAGTCTAGGCTGTCTGTGAGGTGTTAGCAATCTGTCAATCAACTAATAAAAATAAAAATAAACTATGTAAGCAGATTATGCACAATGGGTATGGTTGTGTATCACTGTTGAGTCTCAATTGGAATCTCCCTCCCCTGTATCCAACGTGCCTGTAGGCATCATCGAGTGGCGGTGTCTAAGGTGTGCATTAGCGGACCACCCCTGTGCCCAAGGTGTATGCTTATGACCAGCCTGCCCGTTCTTTACCCTCGCGTGCAACGAGCCTTACGTCTGACTGATCTGCCTGATCAAGAGGCAGTTTAGGGACAGCCCCCAAGGTCCGCAGGAATTATTTAACGTTGCAGACAGGACGACGATCGCAACGAGTGGACAGTTCAGACCCCCGCCAGAAATATTTATAGAAGGTCTGGAATTCGTTTGTATAGGACTGGTCAGTCCGCATACCCCTTTTATCAGCGCAGCAAAGAGCCTTTTAAAGGATAAAGGAGCATGGCCTGCGTGTACTACTCCCATGGGTTGGCATGGTGACCGTGACCCGTGCTTCGACCAGGGCCCTTCAGAGGCACCGCCCTCTCCTGCCAGATGCGCCACTGGGAAGAATGTCGTCTCTGAAGGTAGAACGCACACGACTCCTCACACAATAGAGAGGACACTCTAGGTTGAACTCACCTCCTCGCGGTAAGAAGAGATTGAGAGGGTAGATAAGGTAAGGGAACTATCTGGAGATAGCTGCCCGCAACCACAGTTCTCACCAAATGAGCCACGGTGCCACCTCAGCCAAAACTCCACATCAGCATGCTCTCGTCACCATACATACATCCGCTGTCGCTTCAGCTCCCACGCTGTCGCCACAGCCTTCCAGCGGCCGGCCCCTCTACCCGGGCCCCAATCTATCAAGCCAGCGCCAATGTATCTTCACTGCACAGAAGCATCGTCAGCACACCAAGTAACAATGTTGCCAGTGCCAGGTAAGCGGCAATCACGAACCAGAGTCTAATTTATTAGACACCCAAGAAACATTATCATTGAAAGAGACAGCTTCCACTACAACAGGCATAAAGGCATGATTGGTACCACAAAGTTCACTTCATTGACCATAGTAAACTCCTCGTTTGATAAAGATGGAAGTCTGATTTAAACGACCAGGGATGGCATCAGATTCGACACGCCAGACATCCCTACTTGGGATGATGATATAGTCTGAACTTCCTGGCGACACGAAGGCTACAGGCATTGAAACCAAGGCGACCTGTGAGCTTTCTCAGTTTCACCGCTTCTGATCGTGGACCAGAGATTGCTCCTAGAAATCATCTCCGAAGCGGATGTAATGCATCCTTCGGTTCCAATGCGTGGGATTCAGACGTGAAGCGTCTGCTCTTCGAGCCTTGTTATATTCACGGATAGTTGTTTCTATAAATTGGTCGAGTTCATTAAGGTATATATTTGATAGTAGGGGACTAAGGCCGAAGGGCCGCTGCCTGGCGGCGCCTATGGTCGCCTTTTCAGTCTCTCCGTGTGGCATATGAAAAAACGAAGCATCGTCAGCACACCAAGTAACAATGTTGCCAGTGCCAGGTAAGCGGCATGTGCATGTCTAATAGGTGCTCCATGAGGACTCGTTCCTTGCAGGAATGCCTTTCAGTAAGTTGTAATGTGGTGTTTTTCCCTATACGTGGACTCGGAAACATCAAGAGAGTGACACTTGCGAATCTGGCGATACAACAACCTTATCTGAGGGGATACCTGAATGATCTGACGTACAGAAGGTGCCCCGTCTGCTGTATCTGGTTATACAGCAACCTAGTCCGACAGTGCAAAACGGGTCTGTGCAGCAGTGAAAGCCGGGAAGGAAGTGACCAAAATGGACTACCAGTTCCTTTGTACATGGTAGGCCTGTATCACCCCAGGCATGCTGTTAAAGGTACTGTATTTTAGAGAGCACAAATGTGTAGTGCAAACAGACTCGCTCTCATACACACTTCATATGCATGCAAACAGGTTGCGCAGCAAACTGGCGTCAAACGCCCACTCAGAACTCAGAGATATGGTAACCCAGAAAGCAGCTCAGATACAAGTTCACTTCGAATGGCCATGGCGACACATCGCCTGTACAACTCTCTGTTCGTCAC